CGGTGGGGAAAGAGCCATCACTGCAAAAACAAATGTTTAGGAGGGTGAGATTTTGTAAGTTTAAACAGCGGCAGGTTGCTGGCAAGGCAAAGGAATTAACACCTGACATTACCTTAACTCTCCACTCCTCTCATTATTAGCCTACTACTCTCAGAACCATGAAGCTTCTTTAATAGCAACGTGATCAGATCAAAATCACACTGAACCAACAAATTCCTGAATTGAAGGAATTAATTTTCTTTCCTTTCCTATACTGAAGCACAGGACTTTTACCATAAAGGTCTGTTACCAGTGAAAGTAAAAATAAACTCAGGGGCAGAGTTTCAAACAAGGACACAAAGAAGGTTGCTCAGAAACACTTTTTTTTGCAATTCATCTCAAGCTCTTCAACAATCACTACTTCAGCTGCCTGATATCAATTCAATTAGATTTTGAGACCAGACTGCAGCTCCACTGTCTGCACTGAGTCCCCGAATGGCCAGAAAAGCCTTTAAAGGAATAGCAGTTCAACATCATTTCGAAAAGTAAATTGAAATTCAGATAGTGTTCTCCTGCACGATGGATAAGCTGCATGCCGAAAACAGTATTAGCTAATCAGCATTCTAGAAAATCAACTGCAGATATACAACACATCTTTCAGATAAATATGTGGATGAGAGGATTGTTTTTTTCCATTAGCTTTGTCCACAAATACAAGTAAACATTTCTTACAGTTTTTTTCATACAAAAGCGTTGGTGGTTTAAAAATGAGCACAGGGTAGGTACGCATCAAGTATAAATAAAGAAATATGCTAAATCCAGCAAAAGGAACTATTAATCCCATAAACACATAATATATTCCACTTGAAATTTGCTCGCTCTCATACTATCAATGTCTTATTAGATTTCTATTTGCATATATGCATATATACACACACACGATCTTTCCTCATCTACCTATATACACCATTCGGTACACACACACTCTCTATTCTTTCATTTTCACATGCCATTGACTTGTATTCTACATGAAGAACTGCATTTTTGCTTGGACTAACAGTTATCACCAGAATTCTGTACAGGGCTACCTTGCCTAAGGAATCCACACAGGCTCTACAAGCACTTTGTACACATACTTCAAAGCCTGCACCGCGAAGTGCCCCACGATTAACTCGTAGGAGACATGGTGAGACAAGCAACCTGCCCAAGTCCTAAAAAGGACTCTGTGAAGACCAGGGAGATGACTCTCCCATGTCCCCAGGTGGTACTCCAGGCTTGGACCACTTCTGCTTCCTTTTGTGCTGTGAGACAAAATCAACGACTACTTACGTGTTTATTCTTGAGTCTGTCTTAACACCTAATGCAAATCCTTTCTGAGTAGGAATTGCACTGAATGAAGAAGTGTGCACACGTGATAACATCTACCTATGTCCCAAGTAAAAAATAATCTAGTAACAGCAACAGTAACTGTGTAAGGCAAAATGAAACCATAAATACATTTTAAAAACAAAAAGGAAATTCCAAAACAAATTCTATAATGCTGTGCTAGTACAACAGCACTATATTAGGACATAACTGTGAATTTGAACTGACCTATTTGTTTCAAAATACCCAAATTGAATTAAGCAATAAAATTACATAAAAATAAAATGAATTAAATTAAGGAGAAGAATAATTTCCCTTAACAAATAATTAGGGAAAATTAATGAAAAACAGTTTACTCCCTATAAGATACCTGACATGTGATGTTTATGTCAACAGCATCAATATAAAACAATGTATGAGGAAGGGCATATTTAATACCTTGCCACCAGTAAGTCCATTTTTCTTCAAAATCTTTTCTCTTAGAGACTGAAAATCTTGCCCCTCAGTCAGAGGCTCAAACAAGGGCTTCAGCGACTCATACTTGCAAGTGACTCAATGCTTCAGCAAGTCCTCTCTACCAGCACTAAGACAAATGATGACTAATCCAGAATTTGTGACTGCTGTGAAGCCTTCCTCTTTTTTCCTGCTCTGAATGATGCCTCCTAGTTTACTTCCTTCTCTGACTCTTTTTGATGTTGTTTGCTCTGTGTTTTGTTCAGATATTTATGGCACATATCAGTGTTTGTATACTTCAGTAACTACAAAGAAGCTCTTCCCATGACATAAACAGTGAAAGGACTTGCTGCAACCGTTCCTCTCTATTCCCCACTGATGTGTTGTGGACAGGTAATAAAACCCGAGGGACAAGGCAAATATTTTGCAAGTGTATGAGTAAATAAGAGGGATGATGCCAGACAGGAATCAAACCACAGAGTCACTGACTGTTCTTCTAATGTAAATATGCTGTATGCACACTCAAACATGGAGCTAGTGATGCCTTAGTCTGCTGCTAAGAAATTGTAACTATTTCTTCACTTTCTTTGCTTTCAAAGTGTGTTTCTTTTACCCATTCCTCTCCTTTTACAGTATGCAGATTTCATATATTATTTATCCATACTTTCAACCAGTAGAGTATTTCTTTAGTGGAAGGCTGCAATGGGTTCTCAAAGGTGATACAGTCACTTCAGCTAATCACAAAGAAGGGAAAATCACTCAGTGTTTAGTGTAGTACACCTGCAATGGGTGACAACTCAAGAAACTATATTGTTGACATATATGATGAAAGACTCCAGCACAGGACCCAGTGTAATACATGAAAACCAGAAAAAAAGACCAGGTACAGATTTGTTGAGAAATGTTTATCGTGTACACTGAACCACATGACTGCCACAGCATTCAACACAGGGACTTGCTTTATATTGCAGACAACATGATTATTAGAAATGATGGTGATGCTAAAATGGCAACAGATGTGCCATGCAGAAAATCAACTTATACACCACAATATACACTTACTGTGCTAGACCTCACTTCACCCAATTGTCACTTCAGTTACCCCAATGATAAATACACAGCATTCTCATGGTTTGCACTCCCCAACACAATGGCCCATCACCAGTCACACGTCTGAGTACGACTTCTGCCCTACTGGCAACAACACCCATGCTTCCTCCATCATGTGAAGGCTTCTTTGGTTTCAAGCAGTAGGAGATGCTGAAACATGTGGCACTCAACTAAAGGATTACTTGTCCCTCCGCTTTGCTCTTTGAACTTACGTTTCTGTCCTTAGACGACCCAAAGGAATACTCCCACCATCAAAGGAAAATCCATGTAAGAACCGTAACGAAACATGACCAATCCATTTCTCATTTGCAAAAGAGCAGTCGCTTCCCACTGTTGTACAGAGTTGTTAATTATCCTGAAATCACTTTCTTTAAACTCAAAATAGTAGCCAATAGAGAAAGAAGTTTCAACCTCTCCAGTCACAGCAAAATGCTGCCCGTGACATTGTTCCTGTTGAACTGTACAAGGGTAATTAAGACTCTCACTACACCCTGGAGGGCAGTGAGTCAGTTTGGGCTCAGCTGGAGTCCGCTAAAAGAGTATTGACTAAATTTATAATAGTGCTAATGAACCAATACATGCTACTGGTCAGCATCAAGGCCCAAACAGCAAAGAAAGCCGTAGAGCAAAGAGAAGAGATGGAGGGAATTTACCTTTCAAAGTACGATGCAGTGAAACTGCAATCAAGGAAAAAGGAAGAAGCATTTCTCAGCTGCTGATAAATGTGCTGAAACCACTGGTAATACAACAGTCGTGCCCGAGAGGCACATTGGTATTAGGTCCAAACAGCTTCTCTTATCAGTACTAGGAAAACAGAACCAGGCAGAACCCAGCCCCTCTGGAATAGTTACAGGCCTGATGTCAGACACAGACTGTTAGTTAATTCTAATGAAAGTTGTTCAATAACAAGTGAGCTCTGTATAATAAATTAATACTATAATAATTACTGTAATTTATATATGATTTGTGGCATTGTTCAAAATATTATTTGAAATTACTGTATTTTAAGTATGTTCATGTTGTCATTAAGGCAATTGTGTGCGTATCTGACACTCTGTTCACATGTCTTCATGATTCAGAGAGATTCAGGTTTAGTGAAGTACTCAACCCTAGAGCATTGGTACTTTACATGTTGTGGAGGGGGCGGGGGGAAAGAAGGATTTATATCTCTCTGGCGATTTTTCACATCACTTGTTGAGAAGGCCAGGTGTCTAAACCACCAGCTTGATAAAGCATCTATCTTCATTCTAAACATCAAAAATCTCTCAACTACTGCAGCAAAGCACTACATACTGGCTTTAAAAGAAGAACTTTTCACTCGGAGCACTGGCATCAAATTTCCCACAACTAGGCTTTCAGCAGCTAGTTTCTGTTGCTTATCTCTCCAACCAGCTTTAAAGTTTTGCAGGGGTCTTTAACGTATCTGAATCACAGTCACCCTACCTGACTGGTAGCTGACACACACAGAGCACATATAGTCCTTTAAATCTACTGACTCCATCATAAATTCTTCAGCTGAGGCCAAGATGAGCAAGTACTTGCCAACGTAACACCACCATTTCTCCCATGTCTTCTTCTGTCACCCATGGACACCTAGGGCATCTGACAACGAGTGAGGTGTCAAAGATCTACCCAGGCAAAACACTCCTTTGAAGTTCGACATTGCCAAAAATCAGAACTGTCCAGATACAGCCCAAATCATGGGCTCCTGATCTGTTCTTGCCCACTAGCACCTCCCCTGTCTGCACCTTGCTCTGCCTCTGCAACTGCCTCTGGGCACACTGTGCTTGGGGTGCCCAGCACCCCTTGGCTGTATTCTTGGTTGGAGCCTCTAGGTGACACTACCTTAATGCAAACTAAATCATAATTCCCAAACAAGGCTCCCTGCTCCTGCCCCACCTCTCTTTTCTCTTAAAACCTCATCCACCTGCAGTGGAAAAATACCACAAATTCCACAATCAGAACAGGAAGTAGCACGCTGGGTAAGTGACTGTAGAACCAGTCAGAACTGTAGACAAGTTAGGCAGCTTAGCTTCTTTCATTCAGATTTAGTTTTTGTT